GAAATTAGGTCAACACTGTCTGGAGCGTATGTACCAACTTCAGCAATCTTACAATCGTCTGACTAAAATAATAGCATCGAAGCAGCAATTGAATGGAGAAAGTGGACGACAACGTTGACGGTAATTATCATGTCGGCAGAAAAACGTGGGATCGTCGAGGAGCTACGTTAACCTGCACGACAAAACTATCCGCGTCGTAAAGCACGGATTCATCGGATTGTTCGATTTATGGCAAGCCGATCTCGTCGAGATGCAACCGTACGCCTCGGTCAACAAAGGATACAGATATCTCCTCACTGTCATCGACGCGTGCTCGAAAAAGGCTGGGCCGAACCGCTCAAATCGAAAACGGCCACGGATGTCACTTATACCATGCAACGCGTTCTCAAAGCAGCCGGAGAGTCACCGAAACATTTACAAGTCGATATGGGCTCGGAATACTACAACTCCAAATGTCAAGCATTGATGAAGCATCACAAGATCAATATGTACAGCTCGCACTCGACAACCAAAGCCTCTATTGTAGAGCGATTCAACCGAACGCTCGAAACGAAGATGTTGAAAGAATTCAGCGCGCAAGGATCGTACAAGTGGGTAGATCTATTACCGAAACTCATCCGTGAATATAACGGGAGCGTTCATCGCACTATCGGGATGAAACCGATTGATGTCAACGAAAAGGATGTACCGATGATCCTGCAAAAGCTTCGTGGGCCGCCGCTGAGTAAAATCAAAAAGAGACGCCTGGCCAGACGAAAACTGAAAGTCGGTGATCACGTACGGATCTCGAGACTCAAAGCCATGTTCGAGAAGGGATACATCCCGAATTGGAGCACGGAAATTTTCAAGATTGTCAGCGTCAATCCGACCGTTCCGATCACGTACGATCTGAAAGACGCGCACGATACGATCATCAAAGGAAAATTCCACCGCGAAGAACTCCAACCCACCAACTATAAGGATGCGTTCCTGGTGGAGAAAATTCTACGTCGCAAGAAAAACCAGGCCTTTATGAAATGGTTGGGTCTGGACGCGAGTCACAACAGTTGGATCGATAGTAAGGATTTCGTATAAATAGTATGCATTCGCTTCTCAGTATCGTAAGGAAGAAATCATAAACGATAAAATAATTCTCATCACTTTCATCGTTGTTGTTAGAGTGAATCCCACAGTGGTGAAAAACTCATCCGAAGCAAACATCACAATGTGCCCACGTTTTTTAAAGAGGTGTGTGAAAAAACGGCCAAAAATGCCTCAAGGCATTTTCGAATTTTGATCACTTGGGGTGATACAGTAGCTTCCGAGACGCCCAAACCGGTCGCTGTTTTGCTTAGAAGCGCCGGGTTGCGACGTTGCCATTTTTTAAAGTGGAAACCTTTAAAAATTCATATCTCCGCCGCATCTCAACCGATTTTAATGAACTTTTTTTTAAAATGTTCCTCTTAAGTAGAGCTTTCTAGTGATGTATAGTTCTTTGGGGTTTACTTGGCTTTAAGTGGCACTTCCGCGGTTTTAGCAGTTTTTGATAGACACAAAAATTTAGTTTTTATTTTGCCACGATCGTGGAATCGACGGAATCTAAACAAAAACCATTTTAAATGCAAGTTCAGATTCTCACCTTTCTAACGAGCACAATATCATTCCGGGAAAACGTTTAGTTCCCGAGATATGACCGCTCAAAGTTGGTCACATGCGGTTTTGCGCAATGTGAATGCGTGTTATCACTGAGTCATTCGCGAACTAGGGGTCCCTTACGTTCAATTTACGTTGAAATAATTACACAGAGCAGTAAGGTGTACAACACGAGCCGTATTTTCACCTTCGGCTGCCGATGTGCTACGTTGCCATTTTTTGAAGTGAAAACTCTTAAAGATGCATAACTCAGCTGCGTTTCAACTGATTTCAATGAACTTTTTTTAAAATGTTCCTGTTAAATAGAGCTATCTAATGGCAGTTAGGTTTCTGGATTTTATTTACCTTAGGGACGCACTTAGGTCGTTTATTTGGTTCTTTGCAGAGATTTTTCATACAAAAAATAGTGTTGCTATTTTTTTCTCTTTTTTTAACATTCAAACTAGATCGGAAGATCACCATCGCTTAAAGTATAATGTAAAAATCTTGGTAAATTAGCAACACCACCTTCTCCTGTACAATGAGAGCGTCGCTTTAAATATTTGTACACGTAAGAATAGTGATTAAAAGAATCCCTTTTTTTAAAAGTTCTTTCTTTTAAATTTTGCCATTTTAAACCCTCCCACAATCCGCCGAGAAAAAAAAAATATAAATAGCAAGACTATTTTTTGTAAGAAAAATCTCTGCAAAGAACCACATAAACAACCTAAGTGCCTCCCCAAGGAAAATAAAATCCAGAAACCTAAATGCCATTAGATAGCTCTATTTAAGAGGAACATTTTAAAAAAAGTTCATTGAAATCGGTTGAAATGCGGCGGAGATATGAATTTTTAAAGGTTTCCACTTTAAAAAATGGCAACGTCGCAACCCAGCGCTTCTAAGCAAAACGGCGACCGGTTTTGGGCGTCTCGGAAGCTACTGTATCACCCCAAGTGATGAAAATTCGAAAATGCCTTGAGGCATTTTTGGCCGTTTTTTCACACACCTCTTGTAACAGTAGATTTCCAAAAATAATGTTTTGATTCATCACCGCTCCGCAACTATAAATTGAAATTCCGGAATCAGACCTTACTCTACAGTCTCCATTACTAGTCCAATCCTGGAGGAGATGGTCTCAACCATTTATTCAAGCAAGCATAAAAACTCGTATATACACAAAAGATACGCATGCGACTTAGGTAAAAGTCGAATTTTCTCGTCAACGAAAAGTCGTATCAAAATTCGGTCTGTTGGTACAGTTTTCCGATCTTCGATAGTGTAAATGATTCGCAATGATCCCGGGGCAGATCGGAGAAAGGGAATTTTCCGAAAATATTTTCCAGCGCTCCCGAATCAGACCCTACTCTCCGGTCTCCGGTACCGGACCCATCCTGGAGGAGACGGTCGATCGATGCCGAAAATATTAAAAGTCCGAAATTCCGAATTTTTTGCACAATCTGACAACAATATACCGAAAAATTATTTAATTACTTGCACCATCTGGCAACACTGGAAAATTCGATGTTGCCAAATTTCACCGATAATTAAATAATTTTATGTGCACCGTCCGGCAACACTGTTGCATAACCGCCATCTTGAAGTGGCAACATGCACCATTACATAACCCGCAGGGGCTACATACACCATTGCATAATCCGGAATATGAAGGGGCAACATACAATACCTTTTTACAGCGTTGCCATATGTACAATACCCGCCATACAACACTGTAATTTAATTCGTATTTTTCTGCACCGTCCGGCAACGCTGTTGGATATTTCACTGGCCTTAAATTCCTATTTCTACCCTACTTCCAGTTCATCCCGGGGCCACGATCACCCTTAATGTGGTGCAGGTAAATTCTTTCAAAATGACCCTTGGGGTTTCATTTCCACACTCAGTTTTATACATGAAATAAAAAACCTTTTTAATGTAAAATATTTCATGCAAATTAAAAAGAATAAGGAAAGAAAAAATGAATAGAAGTGAGTAATGCATAAAATTTTGGACATTTTAGGACATGGATAATTTTTTTCCGATTTAAAAAAGCTCGTCTATGAACATTCATGCACTCACGTACTTTATGTCAAGAATTTCATTAAATTATTATATACTGTTTCATATCTTTATCTGCCTCAGTCACACACTCTGGGCAATTCTGCGCTTGTTCTTGCAAAAAAATTAAGAGTGCTTACTTAAACCGGAATTCACTGACTGCTTCACCATTTAAATTGAGTGAAACTTCAAGCTGCAGGCGTTAAAGAGTGGAGTCATTTCGGGGTCCCAAACAGTACCAGTCCAAAGTCCAAAGATTTGAGGATCAGGAATATAGATTTCAATAATATCACTAAAGTCGAAGTCCAAATATTGGTTACAACGTGCAGTTCTCTTTTTCAGAGGACCTTATCATCATTAATATAAGTAAACTTCAAAGGATTCAGACTTTCAGCGATTCTACCTTTTTCTATTTCACTCGAGAGGTTGCCAGATTGTGCGATAAATGTGAATATTTTACATGGATTTGAATTGGGAAAAGTGCTAAAAAAGCAACTTATCTGGCAAGAATAGAGTCCGGGAGGGAAGAGAGGCTGCCTTCCTGGGAAAATCCACGATTTAGCCGGAAATGTCATTAAAACAATTGATTCCGTTTGAAGCAGCAATTGTATACTAAGGGAAAGCTATTTTAAAATAATAATTGTAAATGGACACAGATGCTACAGAAAGGGAAAAAGGAAAGGGAAAGGAAATGAAATGAGGATATGATTATACTAATATGCAATCAGAGAGAATAAAACAAAAACATCAGAGAAATTTATATGCGATGAAAGTATAAAAAAAAAAAAAAAAACACGAGTGGGCTCATTGCGATTCGGAACTCGAACTATACTATCGTTGAGCAGTTTTTAGACCCCTACGCCACCGATAATCTTCTTAAGAGGTAAAGATGAACTTTTGCCACTTCAGCAAGTCAAATCGTGGAAGAAGATCCATGGATTGTCTTTTCCCGTCACCCGATGGGATGACGTCCCAGTCAAATGCGTTTTTGAAGAAATGATCGATCCCCATCATCGCTTCATCTCCACACATCTATTCATGTGCAAATGATGACACGCTCCGGCAACAAGGTTCTGTGACGAAATCATTTTTGCCTCCAGAGTCTCCAAAATGTATACATCTTAGTGATCAAATGTTCAATCACTGAGTAAAATTGCTCGCGGAGCGAGGCGAATATTTCTCGCGTAGCGAGTGATCGGGGGTCCAGGGGGCGCAGCCCCTTGGCTGGCCGTGACGGACGCGCAAAGCGCGTCCAGAACGGCTAGTAGTCTCATAAACTCGGGATTGATTATTCAAAAAAGCCTCTTACCCAATCCATCATAATTATTTTCCAGCACATCAAAAAGAGACTGCGCCAAGGGAAAGAATTCAACATATGTGGCTATTCATTTGGAGGAATGGTAGCACTGGAAGTCGCTCGTATTCTAGAGAGCGAGAACATAAGTGGGAAGATTTGGCTAGTTGACTCATCGCCACAATTTTTAAAAACAATGTCGACGTTGGCGCTAAGTGATGGTGAGAAATCAAAAGAAGATGAGCTGCAAGTTAAAGTCATAATGAGGATTGTTGATTTAGTCTGGCCACAAGACACAACAGAGGTAATACTTTAGAAAATTTGTAAAATAGCTGCTAAAGTATAGTTAGGTCTAGTGTAAATATTTATTTACAATATTAAGTACGAAACGCTGTCTGTCTCCTAACTATTAACGAAGGTTCATTGAGCAATTCACGAAGCAAAGTACCTAAATTCTCTCAGATTAGATTTTGAAATCAGATAATTATTCGCAGCAGGTACCTCCGTACCTATCCTTATTTTAAAATTGAATGTCAAAAGAAAATAAATAAAATTGGCAGCAATGTCATTTTTATTATCAAGTGTCATTTACCCAATTGCACAGCGTGCAATAAGTAGCAATTCTAGTCAAAATATTGCAATTCAACTGAGTGTTGTGTATGCTGTCTAGGTCCTATTTGAAGGGGCCCCATTTATTGAAACTTTTTGCAAATAAATTGAAATAAAGTTGCAGGTTTTCATTGCACTGACTATTGCCTATCTTTCTGACGCATGGAGCTCATTTTGTTGATAATTATGCAATTTAATGGTAAAAAAATTACAATTGTATTGAAATCAAAGTGCAATTTAATTTCCATATTTTCGTTGCACTGTGCTACCTGGGTAGGAGTAGGTAATGTAAGTCTTTGACACTTTGCTTTACAATATTAATCATCGACATATTCTTTAGACTATGTCTCTAACGAGATATCAAGATAAAATAGACATTTTCCGAGATTAAAGGTGTAAACTTTGCAAGGGTGTGTCACCCAAAATCATTGTATCCTTATATCAATTCAACTTTGCATCCAGTTCCACAAATTGTTAATTGCATGCCTCAAAGTATAGTTAGATATTTACTGAAATCGGGTTTGAGAGAGTCAACTTGAAAATATGAGTATTTTTAAATTTCAAGAAGGTAAACTTTGCAACATCGCACCGCCATAAAAAATCTTCAGCATATGTCGAAAATTTTACTGGAGATTTGCTTTGTCATAATGCTTCATTTTTGCTTTGTGAAAGTATTGCATAGTCTACTTTGAAGATGGTTTTTGGAAGCGAAATCATTTAAAAATATTAAGATTTCTAAAAGGAACTGAATTAGGTATCAAAACTTTGCAACACAGAGCCTCCGAAACCAGATGTATACTCAAGCAAAAAATTTTACTGGAGGCTTGTCCTATTATTAGGTTTCATTTAGGCCACATACAAGTGAAATCCCAGGGCCACCATAGAAAAGGGGCCATAAAAGGCCCTTTTTCTCGGAGGCTCTTTGTTCTTATAAATTATAGGAAAATGCAACAACCTAAAGAGAATTTTGTTTTTCTTTTAGTTGGTGCAAACATTGTATAGTGTTCCAGACCTAAACTCTCGAATTGAGTATGTGGTGTCAGCCTCACCTGAAGACATTAAACACAGTAAGAGATATCAAAAACTCCTCATGGTTGCTGGCATCACACGTATTAAATCAGTTCTAAATTATGAAATTCCCTCCAGTAAATTTATCAACTCACCTGTCGTACTCATTAGACCGTCAGAACAATCAATGCCTTTCGCAGAGGACTATGGCCTTTCTCAGGTAAGTTTCCCACGAGACCCGTAATCACTCAAAAGACTTACTAATAAATGCTCAGAGATTATTTTAGATACTCGCGTATTAATTGCATACTTAAAGATCAATGTTGAATTAATCATCTAATAGTTTCAATTATTGTTAAGTATAAAAGAAATTAAAATTAAAGGAATGCCCTTGAGAGCGAAATATACCTATGAATGACACGTTACTAAATTTCAATTAGCTTAGAAACGTCATGGAGAGTCAAATACAAAACCTTAATCTAATAAACAACTATCATCTTAAGTTCAACTGAAGAACTGCTGTTGGCCATAAAAAATTATCTTTGAAAAGACTGATGAGATTTAGATCGGCACAATCCGAGGCACCTGTTTGTAAATACGAACGTGAGTTTGTTTCTGGAACGCCGGCCGAAATAAAGCTCTATTATTATTATTACAACAAATCTAAGTAATTCAGGCACGGACTGGCCAGGGTAGCAAGGAGATGGTCACCCCCGAAAATATGACCAAAATAGCTCCATAGACGCTACAACCAGCTTTTGTTGGGAGATTTCTGAGAGTCCAGCAGCGTCTTGCTTGAACTTTTAAGGAGGCTCCACAGTTGGCATCTTTTTGAACTTTTGACTCACCCACCCAGGTAGTTATTTTCAATCAAGTAATACAATTCTTGACTTATAACAATATTTTATTTTACTCTTTTTCAGTTCTGCGTTAAACCAGTAGACGTTTTCTTTGTGGATGGCAATCACTTAACAATTCTTGAAAACAAGAAAACGGCTGACATTATAATGAAACTAGTTGAAAAAGATGATCAAGACTTCAAGCAGGCCATTATGTCGCAAAGCAACCTTGCCAGTCTTCAAGAGGAACAACGGCGTGTCTGATCAGATAACTGCCAATAGCGTATACTCCGTCTAGCAAGTTAAGGTGCTTGGTATATCGGAATAAAAGACACTGTGTAGTAGTAGCGCAGCCGCTCTCACCCTCGTCACGTATCAACATGGCCAATTTTTCCCCTTCGCAGAGTGGATAGTATTGATCGCCGATTAAAAATCTGTATCTCAAGATTTTTGGATCATCGCCAATATAAGAACTCATGTTAATACCCTGCCTCTGATGAAAGCTTAAAGCACCTGAAAGAGATTGAGTCAATCTTCAACTAATTTGTTCCCAATATAGGTATAGTTTATAGCACGTCACTGCAGCACCGCGATCCATTGTGCGGCGAAAACCTGATTCGGCGTATTGACAGAAGACGGTAGCGGCTCGCCGCCACCACATCGTACCTTTAATTCCAATTTGCCAAATGCCATTACTCGCTGGACACAGTATAGTTACGCTACTGACGAGGAGTTTGCCTCTGATGTTCGTTTCCTATTTTTAATGACATTTCGGGGATTAGTAGTCCTTGGAGAATTATTCTGCAAAGTGAAATTCCGTTTTCTTCAACGAATTAAAGAAAATTCACCGGTTCCTCAAGGACTTCTAATACCCAAATTTCCCATTCGGGGAGTAGACATCGAAAGCGGGTTTTCTAATAAATTCACAAAAAATCTTTTGTAAGCTAACTAGTCAATACAACTTTTCCTGCAAGTCTGGTCTTATTTCTTTGTCTTCGAACAAATTTGTAAGTTCTGCAAAAATCAAAGTAAACCGTGAAGATGTAGTGTAGAGTGGAAGTTGTTCAGCAGCGATGGCACGATGGTGCGAGAATCAAACTGAGCGTTATGAGCGTCATGTTCATGACAACGTTTCGATGCCGTTTCGGATTTTACGGGATGCTCAGCTGGGATTGATGACGTCCACAAAGACCCACATTGATGCAGATCGCTCTGCGTGACCCCAGCTTAGTATTCCAATGCATCTGCCTGAGCACCTGAGCTGAACACTTTTTCCTCAGTCTTGCTTTGAAACTCCAGGGTGGTTTTACCGAAGTCTACATGAAAAATTCACAATACCTCCGAATCTGAAGGTGGGAAACAACAGTGGAGCATTTCAGGATAACATATCCAATGTCAACATAAACAATGTCAGCACCTACTATACCTACCCTAAATTTCAGCCCATTTTTAATAATGCTTCAAAATGCCTGAACCCGATAATAGACGGAAAAATTTCCGCCAGAGGAAGGTGAAGATCAAGCAGATCGGAATACATTTTACGATCTGATTGATCCCCCTTGGATAATGCCATCGCAATGGTAGAGAGGGGCAAAGAGCAGAAAAATACAAAGATTGAGCGAAGTACAACAAGGTTAGTCTAAGTCGGACCATTCTTCCGGCAGTTGAGTGAGATGGAGAGTTAGACTTTAGTCTCTTTACCTGCTAACGAACTTGAACCTTACAGCAATTTTAAAAATGTAAAGATAGAAATTAAAATAAAAAATTGGAAAGTAGAGATGTCGATAGAAATTTTAAAAAATATTAATTTCAAATCATAAAAACAGAAACTTCAATATTGTAAAAAACATTTACCTGAAAATTTCTGAAACTTAAAAAATAGAAATTTTGGAAAATTCTTAAAAAAATTTATTGATTATTTAAAAAATAAATTTTCTGGAAAATGTAAAAAGTAAATTTTCTTGAAAATTTAAAAAAATACATTTCCTTGAAACTTAAAAAAATACATTTCCTTGAAACTTAAAAAAATACATTTCCTAGAAAATGTAAAAATACATTGGTTCCTTTTCATAAAAATTTAAAAAAATACATTTTCCTCAAAAATTAAAAAAACACATTTTTGTGTAAATGAAAACTGATTTTTTTGAAAATTAAAAATTGAATATTTTTAAAATTGTATGACTTACGTTTTTGTGAAAAGGGGTTTATGTAAAATTGGCAAAAATGAATAAAATTATACGTGTAATTTTTTTCTACGTCGCCAAAGGACCCCGCACACTCCTCATGGGAAAGTGCACCACGATCGATTTTTAATTTTTTTATTGCATTCAATTCATCGCACGTTGCTGATCAAGAGTAACCATTGCGCCACCTTTCTACGATGCACTGTTTTTGCACAATACGTCCGGAACACTTCAATTATTCGGCGATAAAGAGTCAGAAAGATTCTTCATTTCAACACTCGAGTGAACGGTCGGCTGTGTATCAACAAAGAAACCAGGGCCAACTCCAGCATCGAGTGGCAGTTTTATCTAGGATTCTGTCCGCCTCTTTGCTTGACCGTCCAAATCAGATTCGTGAGGAGCATAAGAATAGGAAAGTCGGAGAAAAACAGTGAACGTCAAACGGACGAGAGCAGGAGGGAGATAGGCCCAGAGCAAGTGGAATAGATAAGAAGACTGACACTCGCTACGTTTTTCCTTATGAACATCAGACCTGTTCCGAATGCCTTGTCCTTTTTGACTCTTTATCGCCGAATAGAGGAGGCGTTCCGGGCGCACTGTGTGAAAACGGTGCAAAGTAGAAAGTTGAAGCAATGATCACTTTTGATCAGCACCTTGAGATAAATTGAATGCAGTAAAATAGTTAAAAATCGATCGTGGTGCACTCTGCCATACGGAATGTCCTTTTCAAGAAAATCTTCTCGAGGGGCCAAACATAGCACAAATTTTAGAAATTGCCACGCCTAAGGTTCAAGAAAGTGGCCCAAGTGGCAGTGATCGCAATAATCAGCGATTTTATCGGTTGGTTATCGCAATTATATCGGTGGCAATATATCGGGATATTATCGCATTAAAAAATGCGATATATGGCGATTAAATCGCTACTCATCGCAATTTTTGGTTCGATAGAAATCATGATCAATTTTCGTCGATAAAATTGAAATGAAATCGCCATTTATCGCGGTTTTCATTTCGAAATAATCGCGATAAATTTTCGAGCGATAAAAGCGCAATTTATTTACCGCGAAAAGGTCGAGGATAATCGCTCAGATGTTGATGATTCTGGCGATTTTATCGCCGATAAAATCTCAATATTTAGCGATTTTTCTGTTGACAAATGCTACTTGGGAGGGAGGGGGCACAACATTCAAATTGAAGCACGTAACAGCTCTGACTCATCCATACAACAGATCAAAAAAGTATAGTTAGCCCTGGATCCCCACAATGTGAAAATTGACCGGAATGTCACGTTTTGCGACCTTCTTTATGTTTACCTAGGGTCGTGGCTCTTTTGAATATTTTTGATCTTCAGTCACACATCTTACCGGATCCGGTCCGATTTATTTAACGGGAGAATTGAGGTTTCCAACTTGTTTTAAATAAAAAAAAATTCTTGAAACTATAAAAACCAAACATTTTCCGAAGCCATATGCATCCATCTATGAGAATACCTATTATCTACTTCACGCACTTTCAGGTTTTGTTTGATGTAAAAAGAGTTGGTCAGAAAACCGTGTTTAGTTGTAATTCTGGTGACACTTTTCACTTTGCATTACTTTTCATGGTTTTAACTTTTAGACATCAGGATTACCGCATATCTCTCTGAGATTGGTACCTAGTTTTATAATAGGAAATGCAAGATGTATCCGTTGGTTTGTACCAGATGAAGAGTTTCGGGTAATGGAACGTAAATTTCCAAAATTTTTTTATACACGAATACATTTTTTTTCTTCTCAAACATCATTAACATGAATTCTTGTTAGATACACTCTGTTCGAACGACTTCTTTGTCCGTAACGAGTCCTCCAGAGCAATTTTCCACCTGGTACGATGGTTATTATTTCTTTATTTCTATTTTTAAAATTTGAGGTGGGATAATGGCGGCTTCTCAAGAGCCAGCGAGATAGGCGATCTTTTACACCAACGAACAGAAAACTGATGGCGAAAAATAACCAATCGGAACCTCCCAAAAAAAAGAATTTGCCTAAATTCGTTTTTTGGTGGTTCTGCGCAGATTTACCAGTCAGACACGACATCTCAAGGCGAAAAAAAACTCGCGGAAAGCGAATTTTAGAATTCTACACAACTTGACGTAGAGACACGATTGGCTAAAAAACACAACGATTTTTGATAAATCCAAAAATTAATCAAAGATCGAAGAGTGGGCGATTCGCTCAAGGTCGCAGAGACATAGGGAATCACATAGCAGTAGCAACGGAACGATTGTAAATTCATGGGGAGCTCCGTTCCCATGACAACATGGGGAACTCCGTTCCCATGACAAAAGGACCCCGGTTACATAAAACGTCACCACATGTTACATTTCTAACTTCTCCCTTGGAAAAAAATTGGCTTGAGACCTGCTAGGAGTCTGACGAATTTTCCCCAGTTTCCTGCCGTCTCATAGAAAAAGAAACAAAAAGAAATTTGTGGATAAACAAAAATTGACGATAGGACGACAAGGTTACATGAATTCTCCCGTTGCATAAAATCGGTCCATAGACGTATAGAACACACTTTTTTTTTTTTACAATACTACATCTTTTTTGTGCATCTGCAACTGCACTGTACAGGGTTATCCAAAAGTCACCTACCACCCCTGTAACTTTTTTCCTGATTCAGATAGAAGTTTGAAACTTTGGCAATCTTCCTCGGTCTAAATAGCAAATTTTTGGTCCTCCAAAAATTTTGGGGAGGGGGCTAACTTTTTTTTTCAAATAGCAACCCCCCCCCCTTTGTGTTACCTCATTCGGAAGATAATAAAAAAATAAAATTTTTGGCGCAAACCGCAGGTCAAAATGTTAATTTTTGACAAGATGGCGGCCGGTTAAAGTTCAAAATGGCGGAAATTTGGCATCCTGGTTTTTTTTCGGCGGATTGGTCTGAAACTCGGAATCCTAAGGTTTTCGGGACGAGAAAAATGACTCTGGCATTAGATTTCCAGAAAAGTCAGTCTTTTTCAAAATGGCGGTGGTTAAAATGGCGGGTTAGAGCGGGAAAAGGATATTTAGGCTGCTTATCGTTATATTACAAATACGATATAATTTATAATAGATTTACAAATATCATACAATGAGACTTGGTATCCGGGGGATTTTCGGCACGAGAAGAACGAATCTTTCATTGGATTTTTGAAATTTCGAAAAACTTTAAAATGGCGGGGGGAAAATGACGGAAAATCCATATCACGACTGTTTACCAATAGATTTGCACGAAAGGCGATACTCTGGTTGTTTTTGGCTCGAAAAAATGATTCTTTCATTAGATTTTTGAAATACGGCGGAAAAATCGGTGTTATGGCCGGTGATATGGATTTCCCGTCATTTTTTCCCCGCCATTTTAAAGTTTTTCGAAATTTCAAAAATCCGATCAAAGATTCGTTCTGCTCGTGCCGAAAGACCCCCGGATACCTGGTCTCATACAAATCTAACGATAAGCAGCCTAAATATCCATTTCCCGCTCTAAGCCGCCATTGTAACCGCCGCCTATCGATTATTTAGTAATTCAACAATGTAATGAAAGATTCTTTTTTATCCAGCCAAAACCACCAAGATATCGAATTTCGTGCGAGTCCATCGGTAAACAGCCGTAAAACTAATTTCCCGCCATTTTCCCGCCGCCATTTTGAAAATTGTCGGAATTTCAGATAGCCAATGAAAGATTCGTTCTTCTTGTGCCGAAATACCCCCGGATACCAAGTTTCATGCAAGTCCAACGAAAAGCAGCCTAAATATCCACTTCCCGCGCTAGG